GAAATGGAGGAGAATTTTGGAGAGGGTATACAGATTATAAGGCTTAATTATTTCCCTCCATGTCCACAACCAGACAAGGTCATTGGTCTCAGTCCTCATTCTGATGGTGGTGCTCTCACCATCCTCCTTCAGGTGAATGAACTAGAAGGCCTCCAAGTAAAGAAAGATGGCAAATGGGTTCCCGTCAAGCCTCTCCAAAACGCCTTCATTGTCAATGTTGGAGACGGTTTAGAGGTAATAACTATAAAAAATGCAAATTCTTGCTTCGGTTAAATTAAAATTGATGTAATTAGGACAATGGTTATGGGGTCAGGTCTTTTTACCTGTTAATTTCTGTCCAAGCTCCAAGCAGTAGATGAAGAGGAATTTTCCTTGTCATTCCAAATAAAATTAATGACTATTTCGAGGTAGCATTTCTGTTAATTAAGTCATGGTTTTGTCGTTTTCTAGATTGTAACAAATGGAGCTTACCAAAACGTTGAGCATCGTGTAACAGTTAACTCTGAAATAGAAAGGCTCTCCATTGGCACGTTTAACTATTCAAAATACGATCTGAAAATAGGGACAGCAAGAAGCTTGATCTCTCAGGAGAAACCAGCATTGTTCAAGAGAATCACCACTGAAGAATACAACAGCGTAAAGCTTGGCGGTAAGCTTAATGGAAAATCTCACCTTGATAACTTTAGACTGTAAAATGATTAATTAGACTCAGGCCAATGAATCATGTAGTAGTGTTATGTACAATAAGCAGAAACAGTTATTTTGAGTCATGCTTCTATATAATCATCTAACGTTGAAGGAGAGAGTATAGATCTCGATACCCCCTAGTAATAAAAAAAAGAAGCTAAATATGGTTATGTCCTCAACTTTATCCTATTAAAAAAAGGTTAAATGCTATTTTGTCCCTCAACTTCTACACAAAGCCCCTTTTCTGTCCTTTAACTTAAAAACGTTTGTTTCTGTAAAAAATTTTCACTTGAAGGGTTTGATCTCTATCAGAAAGTTGTTATGATCTTACGTTGGAGTTGGGATTCCAGTGGAGGCAAGGGTACATACGGTCTGGTTCGAGCATGTGAGGATACATGGGATGGGAGGTTTCCTCATCACATACCAAATAGACTTCTAGGTAAAGAATAAAGTAGACTACCTTTCAAAAGGTGCCTTGAATGGTAGATGGAAGATATTTGACTTAATGATGATAAA